TAGAGATAAGTTTCATGGATTTTCCTGCCCAGGCAGGTCTTGAACTGCAGGTCTCAAATTTCAGCTTCCTCAGTATCTAGGATTACAGATATGAGCCATTCACACCAAGCTCTCTCTCTCTCTCTCTCTCTTTCTGTGTGTGTGTGTGTAGCTTGAAGTCAGCACATGAGTGCTGTCCCTGATCATTTTTGTTCAAAGCTAGCACTTTATCACTTGAGCCACAGCTCCACTTCCAGCCTCTTTTTGGTGGTTAATTGAAGGTAAGAATAGCAAGGACTTTCCTGCCTCTGCTAGCTTTAAATGGTGATCCTCAGATCTCAGCCTCCTAGTAACTAGGATTATAGGTGTGAGCCACTAGCGCCCACCTGAACCAGCAATCTGCTTGAATGGTTTCAGTAGGTATATCTTGGGAAATCTTCCTCAACTTTTTTTTGCCATCTGCTCCATTTCCTCTTCACCTGTCTTTTCCATATTTCAATTAGCATATATTTATTGCACAAAATACAAAGTTTCACCTTGACATTTTTATATATGTATAAAATGTACTACCTTTATGACTCATCTCTCCTTCACCTTCTCTTTTACCCTTCCCCATCTTATATCCCTCCCTCAGAATCTTCCTTCTGCCTTCATGTCTTTTAAAAAGTTTAGCTTCTGTCTTGTAGTATTTTCTTTTTGTTGGTCTTGGGGCTTGAAATCTGGACCTGGGTGCTGTCCCTGAGCTCTTCAGCTCAAGGCTAGTGCTCTACCACTTGAGCCACAACACCACTTCTGGTTTTCTGGTGGTTAATTGGAGATAAGAGTCTCACAGACTTTGCTGCTTGGACTGGCTTTGAACTGCAATCCTTAGATCTCAGCCTCCTGAGTCGCTACGATTACAGGCATGAACCACCAGCGTCCAGCTTCGTGTTATATTTTCAAGCAACCTTTATGTGACATTTAGACCAGAGTTGAATATCTAGCTGTTCATTGTGCAGCTTGATGGTTTATGGAATGTAGAGGATGTAATTTATCTGGGGAGAAAAAAATGACCCAACAAATATATAAAAAGGACCAATAAAATTATAATGGACCAAAGAGAGCCTTTAATATTCATGTGGCTTTTGGAATCAATGTATATGTTTATATTGAACTAAATGTTTTACCAGAAGCATATTCGGCAGTGAGGAAATGAAACTGAGTGACTATTCTAGAAAAGTATTAACAAAAAAGTCGATTTCGCATGATACATTTTGCCAGGGGTGTGGTTACAGTTCAGAACTATAAAATGTGACTGCTATAGAAAGAACAAAGGGGAAGACATTGCCTCGCCAATGGTTACAATCTCTTATACAGGGACTAATAAAGAAAACAGTGGTAAAAGACAAGATCATACAGTAGTTTTATCCTTAAGATGGCACTATAAACTCACAATTCCTTTGTAGCAAAAATACATAAAAATAGCTGAGATTTATCCAAAATTTCACGGGCACTGTATAATATAAACTAGAATGCCTCTTTATTTTGGAAAAATTCCAAGTTCTTGTGCTTATTATTATTATTATTACTTACCATCAAGCAGTCTCTTTACTTCTGCATTTGGAAAAACAAAATCTCAGTTCAGATGTTCAAAGGTGATTCAAGGAGATATAGTATGACAAAGCCTGAAAAGAATAATATCCATACAGTCTATGCAACAAAAGCAGTGAATGCAATAATTGGCATTAAAATGATTTTATATTATCTTATCTGAACATACTATTTAAAATCAGAGGTAGAATATACTATTTAAAATCTATATACTATTTAAAATATACTATTTAAAAATATATATACTATTTAAAAAGTCACAGGATTTGTCCAGAATTCCAGAATATTTGTTAGAACTTCTACCAGACTCTATTTTACTGTCTCCAGACGGTTACCTATTAGCTAGTATTTCCAATATATAAAGTAGTTGTTAAAATAAGAAGCTATCAAAAGATGTTAGTTTTTACAGACTCTGAATTAAGAAAATGCTGTCATCTATTCAGTTTCCGTATAGCGTTGTCCCTATTTGATTCTTTTTACTTGTTTTGTTGATAATGCTGGGCTGTGCACTCAGGGTACCCCACTTTTTAGGCAGGTACCTAAAACAGTTCCTAAAACAATCTTTATTTTTTCAGATAAAATCTCAATTTTTTTTGTTTACAGGCTAGTCTTAACTACTTCCTCCCTGGGAGGATAGGTAGATGCCACACCTCCAGGTTTTTTAGTAAAATTGGGTGTTGCTAACTTTTGTGGCCAGGCTGGCCTTGAACCATAATCCTCCCAGTATCTGCCTGCTGAGTATCTTGTGCTTATTATTATTAAGGCACAGAAGGTATAAATGATCACTTACTCTCCATCACATAGCTTGTAAGTGGTAAAGATTTAAATAGAGGCAGTGTGGGATCAGAAATGGTGTATTTATGCTGTATAATGTATTGTATCTTCCTTTCTTTCCTTCCTTTGTGTGTGTGCTTTTTACATATACATACATACATACATACATGCCTAGACTGCTCTTGTACTCACTATATAGCCCAGGCTAGTCACAAAATTGAGCTCCTCCTGCCTCAACCTTCCCAAGTGCTATATCTGGCCTTTTTTCTCATCCATGTTAGAATCCTCAACTGTGAGAATTCATTCTTGCCCAGTTCTGGTTAAATTGTATGATGAAACATGTCCCCTACAGGTGGATGAGAAATCAATGAGCTCAGGACTTATTTTTCTCCACTGAGTAGGAGGAGAAAATGTCTGTGGAACACTACATAAGGCAGGAAAGGTGTGTGTGTGTATGTGCATGTGCGTATGTGTATGTATGTGTATATGTATGTGTGTATGTATATGTGTATGTGGTGTGTGTATGTGTATGTGTGTATGTATGTGTGTATGTGTGTGTATGCATATGTGTATGTGTGTATGTGTATGTGTGTATGGGTATGGGTATGTGTATCTCTATGTGTATGTATGTGTGTATGTGCATGTGTGCATGTGTGTGTATGTGTGTGCATGTGTATGTATGTGTGTGGGGGGTGTCTCTGCTCTCTTTATTGCCTTCCTCAGACTAGCTAGAAGGTTTCCCATTTTCCCAATGCTCCTCCTACATCCTCTCATAGATCCTCAAGCCTAGGACCAGATTGTACTATGAATTGTGTTGGTGGTTAATATCTTTGGTTTCTTCATTAACCTGTGAGCATCTTTGTAACCTCCATGCTTGATAAAATACCAGGAACATAGATTTCTTAAGAAATCTTTGTTGTGCCATGTCTATTTCCATCTTAAGGCAAACCCTGCATCAGATACCATCTTTAGTATCTTCGCCTCAGACGATACTGTCCTCATTATCTTCTCCTCTCCTTTTCTATACATAATCTCCAGCTCAGATGGTAAAGTACAGAAGGAAGGCAATCTGTGAGAAAGCGGTTTTCATCTGAAGCGCTTGGTGTTGATGTGTGCTAGGAGTTGGGATGCGTGCGCACACTGGGATTACGATGGTTAAGAAACACCTATTAACTAGCATGCTTTCCTCTCAAGCATCCCCACACCAGAAACACACTGTACTGTGTGCATCATCCAGCTACATTTTTATCCAGAGCTAATAGATGCTAACGGCCACCTGCAAAGGGAAGCAAAGCATCGAACTATGAGCTCCTTCAGCAGGGATACAAATGAGCTCAGGTGAATTCATCAGCTCACCTGCCTCCTCTCTTCTATGAACATCAGGTTGTTTCTTGGCAGTAGCTGGTGATAACTATGAGTATGCCTTTCTGCTCTAAATCAGCCAATGCTCAGCACTCTAATCCACACCTCCCCTGTGAATTGCCAAGTCATTTTCCTAGTTCGGCAATTTTGATCCTCAATAAATCCTTCTGGAAGAAGGAAACTTGGCACTTTTTGGGTAGATTGTAAATCCATATTGGAGACAGAGTTGGGAAGAGAGCCTGCGTGTGTGTGTGTGTGTGTGTGTGTGTGTGTGTGTGTGTGTGTGCTGGTACTAAGGTCTGGTAAGGGGCCTGAACCCCCTCCTTTAGCTTTTTGCTCTAGGATGGCTCTTCACCATTTGAGCAACACCTCCATTTCTAGCCTTTTGTCTGCCTGGGATGGCTTTGTGCTGAGATCTTTAGATTTTAATCTCCTACGTAGCTAGTATCAGAGGTGTGAGACACCAGCACAGTTTGGGGAAAATGTGAGCTTGTTTATGTGAAATGAAACACCATTTTTTAAAAAAAATATCAAAGTTTGAACTCAGGCTTTTGCGCTCGTTTGGAATGATGATCTACCACAAGCCACACTTCCAGGCGTTTTTGCTCTGGCTGATTTTGACAGAGACTATTTGTCCCCCTGAGGCCAGCTTAGATTAGAATCCTCCTTTTGTGCTTCTTTCTATAGCTGGAATAACAAGCAAGTCCCACCACATCAGCTTCTCCTTTCAGGTGGAATCTTGTAAACTTTTTTTCTAGATCTGTCTGGAATTTCCTGAGCTCAGCCTCTTACATAGCTGGCATGGCAGGTTTGAGCCACCATGCCCAGCTAAAAGCGCTTTCTAAAAATTGTGTATTCAATATATAAAGTGCCTATGTCTCTAATAAAAAAGTCCTAACCCATTTCATTGTGGAATAATGGAAATTCAAATGAGAAACTACAATTATATAATTAAGATATTCTGGTCAGGTGCCAGTGGCTCAAGTATGCAACCTTAGCTACTCAGGAGTCTTAAGACTTGAGAACTGCAGTTCAAAGCCAGACCAGGCCAAAAATCCATAAGACGCTTACCTCCAAATAAACGACCCAAAGAAGCTGGAGGTGGAGCTGTGGCTCAAGTGGTAGAGCACCAACCTTGAGCAAAAAGATTTCAGGGACAGTGCCCAGCCCCTGAGTTCAAGCCCCACCAGGATCAGCACACACACACACACACACACACACACACACACACACACACACAGATATTCTGATAAAAGCAAGTTATAAAGAAATGAGTTAATTGCTAGTGAAAAAGGTTTTCAAATTATTTTTTATTAAGTCATTTTATATTTTCACACAAACACACACATATACACATGCACATCATTCTCTAAAGGAGTAAATAAAAAGCAGTAGTTTAGCATATTTGGTTGTATTCATACTACTCAAAACTTTACCCAAACAAGTATTATAAGGATCAATCAAAAGATTTATAAAAAATTGTTGGATATGTGAGCATCAACATTTTTCAAGCCTGCTTTATAAAATAAGAGTGCAATTTCAATTCATGTGCTTGGTGATTTTCAAAGGTACTTCAAAGGGAGAAAAAAGGTAGCATTTTCTTGTACCACAACATTAATTAATGCTGACTTACTCTGGGACTTTATAAAAGCTCCTTTGTGATCATATATGGTATAAATATTAAAAATTAATCCTCTTTCTATGAATAAAACATAGAGAATAATATTTGATTTTTTTCCAGAATCACTTGTTACCATGAAATACTGCATTCATTCTGAAGATATTCCCGGCACCTCACATTATTTATTTTACAAATACTTATGACATTTGAAATTTAAGAGGAAACCCACAAGATCTATTCTTTTTCTGTACATTCACTGAATGCAGATTTAAGAGCACTCATTCTGACTGTGCCCTTTATTTGTATTTTTAATGGCTACAACATAGCACATTTGTATTTTAACTGCTACCAAAATTAAGATGAATAATCTAGGCAAGACAAGTAGCCTGTACTTCAAGAAACAGTTGTCAAATGCAAGAAATAAAAGCCCTGAGTCAGAATTTTTTGCAAAAGAAATGAAAAGGGGTGCTTTAAAGTCATTTCATAACTTATGAAATGGTTAAGACTGTCCAGTATTCCTTTGCTTGGTTTTCATTGTGACTGAAGAGAGGTACAGCTTCTGTCTAATTCATCCAACTCAGATCATCGCTTAATATTCAATTTCATTTAAATCTTCAGAATATCCTGATGACTGTTGAGGTGTATCTTCCATTTCTGTTAGAAAAGACAATTAGACAATCATGGCTTTGTTTAATTTTATTGTAGAAAAGACTTAATTTTCATTATAATTTGAGTCTATATTATATATTATAAAATCTTTTTTTTTTTTAGTTGAGAGAGGTTTTCACCATATAGTCCAGGCTGGCCTCAAATGTACTAAACAGGCTTTGAACTGATTATTCTCCTGCCTCAGCCTCCTAAGCCCTGGGAATACAGGTATGAACCACATTCCCAGATCTGCTATATATAATCAAACATATATAATTGGAAAAAATTACCTGCACAAGGTCCTGGCTGAAATTTAATATCATCAATGGCAATATCACTTCTTATTGAAACTCCTCGGATGGCTTCAAAAATTATCTGAAAAGTAATAAAGCTTAAATTAAAAAATACAGTCACTCTAATAAAGCAATTCAGGCTTTGCTAGTCTAAAGCTTAGATAGTTCTTTGGGACTCCCTTTAAGAAAAAGGGTACGGGGGGGGGAGGTGGGGGGACGCAAGAAGTGTAGTTGTGAAGATGGGAGGGAAGGGATGGTAGGGGAAAAACAAAGGAGGAGGCAACAATGCTTGATAAGAAATGTACTCATTACCTTGTTGATGCAATTGTAACTCCTCTGTACAGTATTTTCACAATAAAAAACTTATTTAAAAAAAGGAAAAGGGTACAAAATTACAAATGTAAATGCAAACATTGAAGATAATATTTATTGGAAATTTAAGGAAATTTCCAATAAATTCTACAGCATTGGAATTTCAGGTCCTTTTGTTTTTTCTTTTTTGATATCTCTTTAAGTAATTCCTCAGAAATTCTTACCTAAAAAAGAATTTCTAGTGGTGGCCTGGTTTTCCCTCTGCACTTAAATTCTGTTTTTCCAGCATTTCCCAGTGTCTACAGGGCAGCCGGAGAGACCTCAGGCTCCAATTTCTTTAAGCTCCCTATAGATCTACCATTAATACTGGGTGGAAAATGTTAATATGCCTGATAATACTTCTGAATGAACAGAAAAGCACAATAATTAAATTTACCAAAATAATGGCTCATTTATCATGTTAAATACCCTAACATCAAAAGCACAGCCCCAAGAGATGAGGAAATCAGTTTCATGCTTTAGAGTATGAGAAAACAATAACTGAGCAAATATTCTTATTTTAGGAAAAACAGATTCCCAGCTCCAGGGCTCTTCTAATAGTAGTTAATAAAATGTTGAATCCTCCCGAAGGTTTGTGAGTAATAAAAATTGTCCAGAGGATGTATTTGCCCCATTCATTGCTTGAGCAAATGACTTTCTTACTGGACTGGCTTATGATTTAAATTAAATAAAAAAAGAAAGCCCTTAAACCAATTTCATGTAAGCCTCTCAGAATTAAATATAAATGGACTAATTTAATAAGTTTAGGAAGTTATCTGGAAATTAATGACTCAAAGAAACTTTGTTGACATGGCTAAATAAAAATTCTAAAGACATAACCTAAGACGGCTATGACTCGGTGTCAACTTGTCTAGGGTAAGAGCTCCCCAGGTGGCTGGCTAAACGTCATTTCTGAGTGTGTGTGAGGCTCTTCCTGAGAGAGATTTGCATTTGAATCAGTATATTAAGTACGGATTATGTGTGGGGACATCTAATCTGTTGGAGCCCAGTTAGAATGAACAGGCAAAGACAAAGTAAATTCACTCCTCCTTCTGGAATTGGGATGCTCATCTTCTCCTCTTGGACATCAGAATTCTAAGCTCTGGGGCTTTCAGACTTACCCCAGTGACCTCCTCCAGGTTTTTTGGCCTTTGGTCTCAGACTAAAAATTAGGCCCTTATCTCTTCAGTTTTCAAGCCTAAAAACATAGACTAAATGTGCTATTGACTTTCCTGCTTCTCCACATTGTGGACAGCCTGTCATAGAAATTGTCAGCCTCTGTAATTGGGTGGACCAATTCCTATAACAAATTCCTTCTTACCCATCTATCTATCTATTCAACCCAATCATTCATCTAGCCATCCATCCAAAGTTCTCATTCTCTGTGATTCATCACAGCCATGAATATGAATCCAAATAAATGTCATGGAAATGTCCTAACACATCTAGGTAGAAGAACATATAAGTACAGCTAGCAAACATTTGGTTTTCTGAACAACAACAAAAATCTGTTGTTTTTCTTTTTTACTTCAGTGCATAGTGAAGTAGACAAAATCTGATGGAATTCAAGACCATCTATGATTTGACCAAACACCTGAGTTTAATCAACCTTCTCCTTTGAATTTCTTTAATATTTTAGTGATGTAGTTTCCTTATTTTACTTACAGATATGTAGTACCATTTCTTCTCATTTTACATGGACAAGATGCATTTAGCTTATCTTCATGCTTTACAACTAACCATATCTATCCTGTGACAGCTGATGAGCAAGTGCTTACAATGAATGCAATTCATTCTACATTTACAGGGTACTATGAGATAGTCTGAAATTTCAAGAGAGACACAGGACTACTCAAAGCATACACTCTATTTTTACTTTATCTTCTATTATATTGCATTGAGTACATTAAAGATGTATTCAAGAAGATTCTAGAGAGAGTTGAAAGCAAACAAAATAAATCTGCAGATTTAGCATTTGACTTCATCTGTTCCTTCCAGAACAATCTTATTTTTAATGCTCAGAGCATATATACCTTGCACTACTAGATCAAGGTAATTTGAAAGTGTTAATACTAGATTGACACATGTATGCCTGTGCGTGTGTTACTACATCACACACACACACTGATGTCTGAAATCAGGATCTTTGCTGTGCAAGTGCTCTATTGCTAGGCCATTCCTCGTTTGCACTGGTTATTTTGAGACAGTTTCTTGCTTTCTGTGTAAGTATGTACTAGATGGCTATTCTATCTTATGGTAGCTGTGATAACAGGTGTGTGCCACTATTCCCAGCTTCTTCCATCAAGATAGAGTCTTGTCACCTTTTTTGCCTAGACTAACAAAAAAAAGCACAAACCAACCCATAGTTCTCTTGGTCTCACCTTTCAGCATGGCTGGGATGATAGATGCTCATCACTACACCTAGCTATTGGTTGAGAAAGGGTCTTGTGCACTTTTTGACCAGGCTTGTCTTCAACCCTGAGCACCACAATTTCAGCCTTCTGAGTAGCTACAAGTATGAGTACGAGTATGAGTCATTATGCCTAGCTTGGTTAATATTTCTTTTTGGTAACATCAGATCTTTATAGAGCTATGTTTTTTGCTATGATCGAAAGCAAGCATCATGTAAAAAATCAGTGCAGAATGTCAAATGGGGGTGTGGTATCCAATCTGATCAAGCTGTGTAATGCTTATATATGTACATTCTCTATATTTTTTGGTATTTAAATAGAGTTTGAACTCAACGCCTTGTGCTTGCTAGGCAGAAACTCTGTATTTTATAGTAAAAAATTGTGTGATCATTTAAGGATTAAATAATTTGTCTTTACATTTAAGGGTTTCTATAGTAGTAGTTGTTGTGTGTGCAACCCCTACAGCTTAAACTCAGAGCCCGAGCACTGTCCCTGAGCTCCTTTTCTCAAGGCTAGCACTCTAAAACTGGAGCCACAACTTCACATACTTCTAGCTTTTTTGGTGGTTAACTGGAGATAAGAGTCTTGCTGGATTTCCTGTCTGGGCTGGCTTTGACTTGCAATCCTCAGATCTCAGCCTCCTGAATAGCTAGAATTACAAGCATGAGCCACCAGTGCCCAGCTAAATATTATTTTTTGAAATAATATAATAAGTCTGTTATCCATTTAGGACATAAATATAAAATGTTTGGTTCTAGCTACTTAATAAATGGAACTGGCAGCTTTGGTGCTAGGAAAATATTATCAACAAATAACCTATCCATGACCAAAAAGTTTGCAGATTTTGGTCTGAGCTAACTGCCCCACACATAAAAATTCCAATTTAAGGTAGAATAAATAGCAATAGGAGTGCTGTAAGTATTTCATTGAGCCAAAAATTTGCTCCTTTCAATTCTACATAAAAATCTAAGAAACCAAAGGGGAAAACACCTGAAAGCCAAAGGGAAAGAGTAATCAGGAAACCCAAAGGGAATAGAAGGATTTTGTGGTTTTGATCAGTGAGTCAGATTCTGTTTAGCACCTTAATAAATCCCTCAGGAAGAATATGATTAAAATCTCCCTATTTGATGAATTTCTTCCTCAAGAATAATCTGACAACCAAAATGTTTTCAGGAGGCCACCCACATATTTTCCTCATAGAGATTTGCCTCAAACCATCTACACCTGCCCACCTTCACTGATGATGAACATACTTCCCAAGCTCCACCTCTACCTCTCCTGTGAACTCCCACCTCAGGTCTACTGGCATACCTACTGGCAAATCTACATCTATTTGATTTTCTAACAGACATGAAAGACCGCATATATTTGGCGTTGAAGACATCTATTAATTGCCCTACTGTTCAAAAGGTCCTTACTCCTCCAATACTACTCTTGTCTAGTGCTCCTCATATCCATAATGAATACATCAATTCATGGTGGCAGTTTCTTGGGCCCAAAACTTTAGGGTCACCTTGATTCTTCTCCTTATTTCAAACTAGACAGTCTATACCTAGGAATTCTGTGAGCTGCTGATAACAACTCCCAGCCACTATCTTGTCCACATTACTATTCCTTTTAGCAGGTTCAATAGCCCTTAAGTCTCCTTTTAGAGGGAGTGGTCATTTAAAAACATTAATCAGATCATAATACTTTGAAGCTATGCAATGTCTTATTGTTTGGGGAATAAATTTCATACTCTTTATCATGCCTGCTAAAGTCTTTTATGACTATTTGTTTTGCTTTATCACCTGGTTGGCTCAACCTTTTCTTCTTCCTTAAATTAATATTATTTTAAATGTATACCCTAAACAGGGTAAAATGTGATATTTGATGTTTGGTGTATGTATACAATGCAGAATGAATAAATCAAATGATTAAGATATCCATTGCCTTGTTTATCATTTTTGTAGTGAGACATTTGAGATTCATTCTTAGTTATTTTATTTTTGGTGCCACTCCTGGGGCTTGAACTGGCATGGGCTCTATCCTTGACCTTTGTTGCTCAAGGCTAGCAGGCTACCACTTGAGCTACCTTTTCTGGTGCTTACTTGAAGATGACAGTCTCAAGAACTTTCCTGCCTGTGCTGGCTTTGAACTGTGAGCCTCATACCTCAGCCTCCTGAGTAACTAGGATTACAGGAGTGAGTCACAGGCCTCTGACTTCTCTTAATTTTGAAATATGTTAAACATTATTATTGACTATAATCATCCTATTGTTTAATAGATCTCAAAACTTATTCTATTTACCTGAAACCTTGTAGCCTTTGACCAACGACTCCACATTCCTTCCCTTCTCTGCACCTCCAGCCTTTACCTTCATTCTACTCTCTTTCTATGATTTCAACTTGATTTATTCATCTTGTAACATTATATATTTTTGGCTTACATTTTAATCTCTCCTCTAGAATATGCATTTAGGAAAGTGAAGAATTTTAGGTCATAGATTATCATAACAAGAGGTCAAGAAGTTCATTAAAATGAGATATTTTTGCCTTAAACTCCAAGATCTCAGTCTAGATAATTGCTGTAGCTGTTTGTAATACTGATTTCTTCCATGAGATCAGAAAACTGTGGGAAAGAATGTTTTTTGTCTGTTTGTTTTTGCTAGTCATGGGGCTTGAACTCTGGGCATGGGCACTCTCCCTGGGCTCCTTTTGCTCATGGCTAGTGCTCTACCACTTGAACCACAGCACCACTTCTGGCTTTTTCTGTGATTATTTGGAAATAAGAGACTCAAGGAGTTTCCTTCAGGCTGACTTCAAACTGCGATCTTCAGATCTCAGCCTCCTGAGTAGCTAGGATTACAGGTGTGAGCCACCAGCACTGGGCATAAGGAATAGAATTTTTATGTCCCCTATTTATAATTCGGGACATTAGATTTTCACGTGTAACTTCAATTGACCTCCACTCTAACCCGTGCTGTTAGCATGGCGGCCGTTATTTCCTCCTTTTGAAAATATTTAGACAATCTCAGAAAGGATCACCAAGTGCTCATAACACCAAGGGAATGAGGACATTGTAGAACTTGTGTGGTAGGAGGCAGTGTAGAAGAGTGACTTATAAACTTCACAAGTAGGCAGTCTGAGTATGACTTCTTATTCAACTTCCACTTACTAGGTAAACATGCACTTTTCCCCCTTTGTAGGATAGAGTTGTAAGATTAACTGAAAGAACCTATCTATGCACAGCTCTTCATGTTATACATAGCTGACACACAGAAGATGACTAATCTTATATGCATGAATGTGTGCACATTTTATTTGATATTAGGATGCTTTGGGCCAGTGAGCTCAGCCTTATCCTCTGTAGCCATTTGGAATTCTTGGGGGGACCCACTAAGTCCAGAGACAAAGAATCATGTCTATTTCGTGCTAAGCCAATGGGACCAAGTCTATTTCTCTTTCTGGCTGTGAGCTGAATATCTCAAGGGTGGTTCCATACCCCTTGAACCCAAACACCCTAGAATGCCACCCTCAGTCCTCTATAAAATTCAATCAGGCAAACTTACAAGTTACCTTGTAAGTGTCGTATGCTTAAGTCCTTTTGCCTGACTCCCAGAGCTTCGATGCTAAGAAGTTCCCTGTTCCTCAGAATTCAAATTTTAGAGCACCTGCCCCAGCATCACTTAAAAGTTTTTAAAAAATGATCATTTCTGGCTCGGAGTGTAGCTTTACCAGCACAGCCCTTACCTGACTTTAATCCCCAGAACTGACTAAATTTAAATGCTGGAAACCCTGTCCAAAGAGTCTAGTACAGAGAATCTCGGTCTCTAATATGCATCAGAGTCAGCTAGGATGGCTTTCTCGAACCAATTTCTGGAGCCTCAGAAATTCCTCCCTTGATTTTCCAACCCAGTTCTGTGGGACCTGAGCATCTGTATCTCAGATGATTTTGGATTTCAGGTATTGTTGATGCTATGGATACATAGACTACACTTTGAAAATCATTTGATGAGAGCAGATGTATATATGCTGTGATAGCCTAGTAAAACAGAGCCATCATCTCTGAATGATGACCAATTACTTTTGCAGAAGAGCAGTACTGGTATTTGAACTCACAGTTTCATGCTAAGTAAGTGCTCAGCCACCTAAGCCACATCACCAGCCCTCATTTACAGCATAAAGTTCCTAAGAAATCCACATTCCTTCTGTAATGGCCAATATATCGAAATTATTCATGGTACTATCTTGTTTATTTGTGCCAGTGGTAGAGCTTGAACTCAGGGCCTGGACACTGTCCTTGAGCTTCTTTTGCTCGCTCTACCATTTGAGCCATTGTAACTCCCCTTTCAGCTTTTTGGTAGTAAATGGAGATAACAGTCTCACAGACTTTTCTGTCCAGGCTGGCCTCAAACTGTGATCCTCAAATCTCAGGCTCCTGAGTAGCTAGGATCACAGACATGAGCCACCAGTGCCCTGCTTTTTTTTTTAAATCTATATTTCTAGACAGTTTATCCACACTGAGCTAAGGGACCCTTTCTGGTTAATGCACATCTTCCCTCTGTTACTTGTTCTTTAACGATGCTGCATCTTGGAGGACACTGCATCTCAGTCACCTGAGCCGCAATTGCTTTTTGGTTGTGAGGTGGCACAAAATAAAGCACTCATTTTGCATATATCTTCCTGAAAAGAACTGAACTTACCTAGGCAACCAGTGGCTCAAACTAGGGTGTGTTGGTTTAGGATGTTTACTAATTAGAAGAAAGGATGAGGAGGAAGCTGGGCTTTTAGTTGGAGGTCATGCTCCACAATTCTACAGACTAATTCCCAGAACAATAGTGAGTCTTCCCTTAGCTTCCTGGAGTTTTGGCTTAGGATAGGCGGGTGGAGTCAGTGGCAACTGCTGCTCTGTGGGCTAGAGTGGCTGCTCTGTCCTTCCTCCTGAAATGATGGAAATCACCTAGGACAGAAATTTCCTAGTAGCACATGACAGGACCCCAAGGGTGACCCAGAACTTGGGGTCAAGAACTCATTTTCTTTCACAGAGGTGTAACAAAACCCAACTTTCCCTGGACCATAAACACTCCTAGAGGCTTAAAATGAATGCCCTGAAAGCTGGGCTATATAACCCTAGCTACTCAGGAGGCTGAGACCTGATCACATTCAGAGCCAGCCTGAGGAGGTAAGTCCATGAGACATTTATCTCCAATTAGCCACCAAAAGCCAGAATGGCTCAAGTGGTAAAGTTCCAATCTTGAGTGAAAAAGCAAAGGAACAGCACCCAGAGCCTGAGTTCAAGACCCAGTACTGGAGAAAGAGAGAGAGAGAGAGAGGAGAGGGAGGGAGAGAGGAAGAGAGAGAGAGGGGAGGGAGGGAGGGAGGGGGGAGAAGGGAGGAAGGAAGGAAGGAAGGAAAGAAGGAAGGAAGGAAGGAAGGAGGGAAGAAGGGAGGGAAAAAGCGGGAGAAAGCAGGCCCTCATAAGGATATGCATATGAGAAATGATGGGTAAGAGATCCAGCTGCAACAACTAATTAGGCAATACTATATTTAGAAGAAAGGGAGGCTTCAATTTGAGGATTTGCAGGACAGAAGGAAATACACTTAACATTCCTAGCATACCAAGACAAAAATAGATACACTTTCATCACTGAATTACTCAGAAATCACTTTATGCATACACATTCAAAGCTTTCTCTCCCAGTTTAACTTCCCATTCACTGCTTAGATTAATTCACTGTAGAGGCTAATTATGTTTACTCTTAAACTAATCCCGCCTTTATCTCTGACCCTGGAAAGGGACCACATATTTTCTTTGATAACAAGAAAAGGAAGAATATCAGAAGTGGGTAGAGGAATGCCACCCCCTCCCCTTCATCTTCTTTTCTGCTTACCTGGTATTGCCTTGTGCAGCTGTATTCAACCAGAGCTCGTAGCCAGGAAATGCTCTGCTCCCCTCTTCTCCTCCATAATAGAGATGTGTCGCTCTCTTTTTCCTTTTTCAAATACACACTCAGCAGGCCGGTCCCAGCTCCGTACATGTGGTAGAAGAAAATCAAGCAGTGTTTTCCGGGGACCCCTCGCAGAGGCCTGGATGAGAGCTGGGCCTTTTGTCCATACACCATATGAGAAGCTTCAATGTACATGTAGTAACCTTGAGAGGAACGCAAAGCGGGTACATTTAAAAAGGTCACGAGTCACACTGGCTTCTGTCACAGTTTTCCTGAAAACGTGGGTGACTTGGCGGCGGTTCTGAGAAAGGGTTCTCAGGTATGATCCAAGGAAAATAGAAATGCTACAAGAATGGAAACCAAAAAAGAATGTTTAATGATTTAATCATTCAGTTGAATAGGCAGGAGGAAATGAACACGCCAGTATTGTGTCACTGATGTGGTGGTTATCACATCCGAACCTAGCTCACTAATTCACGAGCAATATTGTGAAACTTCTGTCTGTTTGTGTCCCCTGAATTCATGTGTAGAAATGCCAACTTCCAAACATTATTAGGAGAAGGGGGAGAGGGGATATGTTCATGAGGGTAATGCCCCATCAAAAAGATTAGTATCCTTATAAATAGGCTTCCAGAAGCTCCCTCATCTCCTCTGTCATGGGAGGTAGCCTGAGATAGGGACCACCCATGAGGAAGAGAGTCCTCCTCACATGAAATCTGCTGGTATCTAGAGCTTGGATTTCCTAGCCTCCTATGAGAAATACGCTTCTGTTACTTACAATCTGCACAACCTATGATGTTTTGTTAGGGTAGCACAAACAAACTAGGACACAGCCTCACTCTAAAATCTATTCCAACCCTCATTGTTGCTCAAACTCCAAATGATAGTCACACACCCCACTCTCCTTTGCCAAACTATCTGAAATTCCTGGTGGTTCTACATTTAAAAACACAACCAGAATCCAGTCAGTTCCTCCTTGCCCTGGTCCTAGCGACTCTAATTCCCCACTTGGCCTAACACGACAGCTTCCTGGTATTCTGTTTGTTCTTCCATTTGAACTGTAGCTACCACGTTGGGTTGGGATTAGGCTATCGGGAGTGTCCTGCTATCCCCTGTGTAATTAGTAGTACAGTGAACGGAAACAATCGCTTAATACGTGTTTACTTGAAACATAGTTGCTCCAGAAATAATTTTTAAGGTATCAAGCAAACTATTTGATGAGAGAAAGTAATTTTGTCACCTAGCTTTGGAGCTCTCGAAAGGCTCTGGTGAGCCTGAGCTAGCAGATCTGGGCTATAGTTGAAGCTCTAAGGAACCAGAAAGTAGACTATTAGGGCCTGAAACATGTCTTTTCAGGATGAGGAGGAAGCAATGCATCTGTCACAAGTGACAGGTGATGTGAGAAGTATCTTTTGTTTAGTGATGATGGCGATGTACTCCTAACGATAACAACAAGTCCTGGGTCATTCTGAGGTCTCAGAATCCAAAAGAACTCTCAACCACCCAAGGATCATTGGATAGAACTCTTCCCTTCATGGATACAAGGCACTAATTCATTTAGCCTTGAAAGCATTACTCTATGCCACGGGCTTCCAGGCAGGGGAGGCTCTAACTAAACCAGGACGGCCACACAGCTTTCTCCATCTACCTCTGTGCTTTGGACCACACCCAGCTTCCATAGCCTCCTGCAGCCTCCTGCTTTCAGCTCATGCATCTCTGAGTCTCAGGTGTCAGGGCGAAGCTATTAGCCAAGGTTTCTGCTTCCAGACATCTTTGTGTTTAGTATAACATATGAAAGGAAATCTACACTGCTTGACCTATTGTGCTGCTTTTGGAAAATAGGGGTCACATCCAGGAGAATGGGAATGCTTTTCTGGGGACACTGATACCATTCTACTTTTCCCTC